AAGAGAAGGGGAACAGAATCAAGTGAGCAATGTATTGTCCTGGAGTTAAAGTTACATTATTGGCTTGAGCCATAATTTTTATTTTACCAGTAAAGTTAGTGTTTATATCTCCAGGAAAAACCTGTAACCCTTTTATAGTTTTACTACTTCTGCCCAGTAGGAGACCAAAAACCCAGTTGGCAAAGGACCAAAAATCCCAGTAGGGAGGCTTGTGGGCCCATCTCAGGGGTCAATACTGTATAGGAGGTGGCACTGAGGTCCAGTCCTGCACTACCCTCTGTGGCTCCATGGAGGAAATTGATGGATTTAGGGTGTTTTGTTGAAGAACAAACGTTATGGCCCCAAAAAGTTGTTGGTTTTGTTGGGATGGGGCCTGGGGCCAGCCCCGCTTTTAGTTTTTTGAACTTTTTTCTTTAATGAATTACCTTTTTTTAATTAGTTTTGGAGTGACATTTATTGGCCCAATGTCTTTTTCTTTTGTACTGGGGGAAAATCCCAGGAGTCTTATTTTGATTTTTAACTTTTGGACAATTTTTTTTGTACATGTTTTTGTTGTCCACATTTATAGCACCCTTATTTATTAGGCATAGTCCTTCTTGTTAATTTTTGTAATGACATACCCAGCAGAGTGGCAGGTCCTGAATGTTTTGTTTTTTAAATGAATCCATTTTGCTAATTCCTCATTAAATGGACTGTCACAGAACACCTCAGCCACAGTAGCCAATCAATCCATGTCCACATTGTATTTATGGTTGGTAGGCTTTACAGTACTGTGGGCATCACTGGGCAATTTTTAATTCATACTGAGAATTACACATTATTAGTAATTATCACGGACACGTTTAACGTTCAGCTTGACTGCGTATTCCCCCAGGATGAAACAGCAGTAGTAGAGGCTTGCTCTGGCTCCCCCTTAAATCCCCCAAGGACAAGGGTGGCTTATTGTCAAGATTTTAGGCAAGCAGTGTGTCCCGTCCCGGATCTTGGCCAGAGAACCGAGACACGAAGCATGCCCACCTGTTTATCAGAAACATTTCTTTATCCTCCTCCCCGGGAACTGGCCAGGCTCCCCAGGAGAAGGTCATCCGGCAGACAAGTTACTTGTTTATCAGAGCCAAACCTAGATACAAGCCTCTCCATACCAAAATTTGTCTTTACATTTGGTCCTAGGGTTGCATTGAGAGGTAGACATAATTAACACATCATAAGAATACAATACAAATTTTTCATATAAGTATACATTTAGCAATTAAACACAATAATATTCAATGTGTTTTAAGGATAAATTGAAACATATCTGAGGGAATTAGCCTCTTATTATCTGTAATTGTTACATTTTTGCAGGTTTGTGGAATCTTAACTACTTGCAGCATATTTTGATTTACTTTTTTTTTTTATAAAGCAAACCAAGCATAATCTGTTTAAGCATTCCTATCAATAATAGGGGTAGAGTTAGTACATACTACAAAAACAGAATGGGTAGTCCGGACACTTTGTCACCACAATTCCTCATTTCACATAGTAATATTAACTTTATAACAGATAACATTTACTTCAAATGAAATATTTAAATGCAAGGTGAGGGCTGTCCAGTGTACACTGATCTATATTTTTTACTCCCAGTGTTACTTATCCACAACACCCTCTTCAGCAAACCAAGGACTAATTTTTTCAACAGCACTGATAAACTGCTCTACGTTTGTTTCTTTAACCCTATTCTCTACATCTGCAACATAGTTTTTTACAGTCTTTGTCACAGCTTGCTTTGTTTCTTTAAATGCGCATTTAGAACTTTCGCCTAGTTCCTGGCGTTTTTTAACTCCCGCCTTGTAGGTGCTTTGACTCCCGCCTTGTAGGCGTTTTTAACTCCCGCCTTGTAGGCACTTAATTTCCCCGTCTTTCTTCGACGGAACGACGGTTTCTATTCTTTTCCCAGCTGGATTTCCGTGCACATGCACGCTTACCTTCCTGTGATTAGCAAAGTGATCCGAGTCACGGAACCACTTGTCGCTCCCTTGCCCGCAAAGGAACGACACTGCTCGCGGCTTATCGGTCTTCAGTAGACTTTTAATAAGAAAATAACAGTGACAGAGAAAGAATGCAGGGAGGAGAGTGGACAGAAAAAGCCCCCTCCTTCCTCAGCACACAGCTTATATACAAAATCCGGCCAATTGTAAGTGGGCTCAAGTCCATGCACGGAACACTCCAATCCGCTGTTTGTTCACACAGTGTGCATGCATCCTCAGGCCAATCAGATGAGGTGTCATGCAGCAGGCAGGCTCACTGCATAGTCCTTGGCGCCATCTTGTTGTTTACGAGACAGGCTCAGTTCCTCTGGAAAGTCCCGACCGTAGGAAAGCATTGCCCTAACGGAAACTAGCAACATCCACCTTGTGATAAAGACACAGCAGCAGCTATCAGACCGACCTTGACATGGGGGCTTCGTGGCTGGCCATCCCATGGAGCCCCACAATGTATTTGAAAGTCAGAGTTAAAAAAGAGGGAGACAGAGAAAGACAGACAGAGAAAGAAAAAAAAATTCTTCTATCCACTGGTTCACTCCCCAAATGGCTGCAATGGCCATGGCTGGGCCAAGATGAAGCCAAGAGCCATGAGCTTCACCCTGGTCTCCCATGTGGGTGGCAGGGTCTCAAGTATTTGGATTATCTTCTCCTACTTTACCAGACCATTACCAGAGAGCTGAATCAAAAGTGGAGCACCAAGGACTCAAACCTACACCCATAGGGGATCTGGTATCCTAGCTGATGGCTTTACAGGCTATACCACGATACTAGCCTGTATTCTACACCTTTAATAAAATGCTCAAGTAACTGTTGAGAAACAATATGAACTGAAATTAAGGTACACACAAACTTTAGAACACATACAAAAAGTCACTCAAATCAGTGTATACATTCAAATTTGAAATGCAAACTATAAACATTCGAGAATTGAAAGTGGAAGAAAATCTACATGCCCTTGCATTTGGTAACGACTTTTCACACATAACAAAAAGACAGTTACCGAAAGAAAGAAATTACTATTGTGGACTTCACAGAATTAGATTTTCTATCTGTGACTCATTATGTGCATAGAACAAATAGACAAGCTGGGATAAAATATTCACAAAACACATCTGGCAAAGAATTCTTATGCCCGCAATCTGTGGTCCCCTGAAAATCACACCAGAGACCAAAGTTGAAGCCAATTAGCAGGGTCGTTTTTTTATTACAAGTTCGAACCCGGGCATCTCAGTGTCTCCAGGAGAGGAAAAACCCCCCGAAGCCCCGAGCCCAGTTCTCACAGAGTTTTTATTATCATGAACAAGCAGGCTTTAGGGGAATGCTATAGATCAAGTTGACACTTCTGATAAGTCCCGAGACACCTGTCGCTGACTCCAGGGTAGGGGCTGGTTGTTATCTCAACCTTTCTACCTCCCTTTTACATTCCTGGACCTGGGTCAGGGTTGGGTCACATCTGGCCAGGTGGAGGGAAGGGGGAATGTAAACAACTTAGTGTAGTTACTGGATTACTTAGCTCAACATCTAACATAATACATATATAAAGTCAAAGACACTTAGCATTGCTTACTATTACTACTAGTTGCCTACTAAGCTAATGTGTTTACACTTTAGGTTACATTAAAATAATATTTTCTAGCACTATTATAATGAATACTAAGGGCATAGTAAAAGCTGGTTGTGCAGGTGTCTTCTCAGAATGTCTATTCAAAATACACAGAGAGTCCTAAAAATAAAAAATAACTACAAACAACTCAATTAAAAATGGGCAAATAAATGGACACCAGACCAATGAAAATTTTTATTAGAGCTGCTAGACTACAAGACAAGAACAAAACAGCAGTTGCTGGAGGGTGAGGAACAACAGGACGTCTCCTTGCTGCTGGCAGGAGACAATGGCCCAGCCACTGTGGAAGAAGTTTCAGTGTTTCTCCTGAAGTGAAACAAGCATCGCTGTACAATCCAACATCTACACGCTGCATTCTGTGTGTTTGAAACATTCCTTTGACAAATACTTCCAGACAGCAGCCACCAGGTAAATTTGTTCAGACGTACGGTAATAGGACTCCTCCAACAGCAGAGCGATGCGGGACTGAACCGGGTACTCCACCCACAGTGCACTCGTCACCCGTCTGCAAGAACAGAGGTTGCTTCTCTGTGCTCTACACTGGACCCCCAACACCGAAAGCAGGAGGAAGCTTCCCACATCAGGAGTCCCCAGGCCTCCGGACACCACCCAGGGGTCAGTTAAAGGCACAGCAGCACACGACTGCCTCTCCCACGTCAGACGCCCATCACAAGCCTGTCTCTCCCCAGGTCACAGAGGCTCCTCTCTGAGATGGCCACAGACTGAGGGCTCACACAGCTCCCTACTCAGGTTTGATCATTGCTATGACGTTCACAGAACTCAGAAAAACAAATTTCCTGAATGTTTTGGTCTCCCCACAATTCGTTGCTGAAGTCCAACCCCCCAAAGTGACGTCATGAAGAGGTTATTTGGGGACTGGCACTGTGGTGCAGCAAGTTAAGCCAACGCCTGCATGTTTACTTACTTGCAACATTAAAACTACAAGACTGCAGAGGGGGGTTAGCGGAGGAAAGCCTTAGAGAGGTCGCCCCTGACGTGCAGCCGCGGCTCAGTTAGCTGACCTTCGGCCGAGTTAATCTCACACACAGCCAAGGGGGCAGGCCTCACACACGGCAGAACAGGAAACCTTCCGAGCCATGTGCTCCGCCCAGGACACCCGCGGGTTCTGCGCCATCACGGGACTGCGAGTGCCCCAGGCGTGAACCAAAACCCCCAGGCAGGGTTGTGGCTCCGGCCTGGCCTAGTGCTGCCGCCCGCCTCAGATTCCGTCTCCCAGAGCCCAGCCAGCGACAGCCTCAGAGGACTCCATCTCCCAGAGGCCCCTGGGGGGTGTCGCACCTCAGAGGACCCATCACCCACAATGCCCCGCGGGCGACCGCCTCAGACTCCTCCCAGAGCCCAGCCAGCGACAGCCTCAGAGGACTCCATCTCCTAGAAGACCCCGTGGGCGTCATGCGTCAAGGACAGCATCTCCCACAATGCCCCGCGGGCGACCACCTCAGACTCGACCTCTCTGAACCCCGTGGGCATCCTGCCTCCGAGGACTCCGTCTCACAGCGGACCGGAAGGGGCGTGTCTATGAGGACCCCATCTCCCAGAGCCCCCCTCAATGCCCCCTTGGAGTCTGTTTCCCTGTGCCCCACAAACGCCTCAAACGCCATCATCCAGGGACCAGCAAGCGACAAGCCTCAAAGGCGTTGCCCAGAACACCTCGCGGGCGGCCATCTCAGACTATTTTCCAGGGTCCCGTGAGCGCCTGCCTCAGACTCCATCTCCCAGAGGTCCTAGCAGGATGCTCACGTCGGAGCACCGCTTCTCCCAGAACACCTTGCAGGCGCTCGCCTCAGACTCCATCTCCCAGAGGTCCCTCCGGCGTCGCGCGTCAGAGGACTGCTTCTCCCAGAATGCCCAGCTTCTCCCAGAATGCCCAGCAAGGTCCCGTCTCAGCCTCCATCTCCCAGCGGGCTACGGGGGTGTCACACAGCAGAGGACCTCATCTCCCAGAATGCCCTGCAAGTGTCCCGCCTCAGCCTGCATCTCCCAGAGGGCCACAGGGCTCACACAGCAGAGAACCGCATCTCCCCGAGCCCTGTGGGTGTCCCATCTCAGTGCACTGGCACCCACCTCAGAATCCAACTCCCAGAGCCCAGCGAGCAACAAGCCTCAACATGCTCCATCTCCAGAAAGGCCCGGGGTTGTCGGACATGAGATGACCCCGCGGGCCCAGATGACCCCCTCAGATTCCATATCCCATAGGTCCCCCGGGGTGTCGCACGTCAGAGGACCTCATCTCCCACAATGCCTCACGGGCCTCTCGCCTCAGACTCCATATCCCATAGGTCCCCGGGGGTGTCACACGTCAGATGACCTCATCTCCCACAATGCCTCGCCGGTGTCTCTCCTCAGACTCCATATCCCACAGGACCCCGCGGGAGTCTTGCGTCAGCGAACCCCGTCTCCCATGCTCTGAGGCTAAAGTCGGTCAGGAGAAGCGGGTTCGTGTGCCCTCTCGTGGCTACCATGACTCCGCGCATAACACTCAGCGTGCCCCATCCTAGCTTTTCTGGGAAATGGAACAAATTCAGGGTCGTACTCAGATCAGCAAAGGCCTCCGCATAGGAAATTCGCACTGACAAGGGGTGCACTACCCCATGTCTTGTTTGACATTTGTGATGTAGCAATTATTTGTGAATTTTTTGCAAACTATATGGGATGTTATAAATATGAGCGTGTAATTCTTAAACAAAAATCAACTAAAAATAGTCCACACGCTGAAAATTGAAATACAGAAATTCTAGAAAAATGTATACCAGAATCTATGTGGTCTTAGATTTGTTAGGGAGTTCTAACCACAATTCAACTCACAAAAGAAAAGGTGTGAACATAGACTTCATAAAATTAAGTTTTCTTCTGTGAAAGGCCCTGTTCAGAGAACAAAGAGGGTGCAGAAATGGAGCAGGCACCGACAGAGCAGACACTGGTGAAGAGTATGCACTCGGGGCAGGCATTTGGTCGAGTGGTTGAGATGCCCAAGTTCCACATCTGAGTGCCTGGGCTTGATTCTGGGCTCTGGCTCCTGACTCCAGCTTCCGGCTAATGCAGATCCTGGATGGCCTCAACTGAAGGCATCAAACTATTCGGTTCCTGGTACCCACGTGAGACATTGGATTGAGTTCCTGGCTCCCTACCATCTAGGGCCTGTTGCAGAAATTTCTGGAGTTAACTGGCAGGTGGGAACTCATTCTCTCTGTCATTTCTCTTAAAAAAAAAAAAAGTGCATATCAGGGGCTGGCTGTGGTGGAGTGGATAAAGCCACCACCTGTAACACCAGCATCCCGTTCAGGTGCAAGTTTGAGTCCAGGCTGATCCACTTCCTAACCAGCTCCTTGCTAATGTGCCTGGGAAGGCAGTGGAAGATGCCTCAAGTACTTGGGACCCTGCATTCATGGGGCCTAGTACTGACCATTGCAGCCATTTGGGGGATAAACTAGAAGGTGGAAGCTCTCACTCTCTCTCTCCCCCTCCCCTTTCAAGTAACTATTTTTTAAAAAGGAGTAAATGACAATCTACTTAAATTATATAGAATATGCGAGCATCAGAGTATGCAATGCAAAAGATGACAAGGAATCTGTGTCTCAGATGTGTGGAAACTGCAGTTGGTGGGAGACACTGCTTGCCTCAATCACTCTGGAGGTGAGTGGAGTCCACAGACCCCAGGGGAAGGAGATTCTCAGGGGTTCTTCCGGGGAAAGAGGCTCCTGGATCCTGGCTTTGGATCAGCCCATGACCAGCTGTTATGGCCATCTGGAGAGTGAACTGGCAGTTAGAGACTCTCAAGGTTTTTCCAGGGGAAGTAGGCTCTCAGGGTCCCCAGGGGAAGGATGCTCTAGGTGTAGCATGGCCAAGGAGTTTCAACAGACATGGCAGTGTCAGGCAGAGTGGAGTCATGTGCCCTCTGCTGGCATCTGGGGTCCTCAAAGGCCACTACCCATTGCTCAGTAACACAATAAAGTGGCGACCATGCCCGCTCACCATGGTCTCACTGAAGCTGTAGATTACTCTAGTGGTGGGTCCCTGACACTGTGCAATTGGAATTTGCAATAGCACCATAAAAATTGAAGTCCTAAGGTATAAATGTAACAAAATATATACATAGATGCACTCAGAAACCTTGAGACATGATAGGGAGAGGTCAGTACTCTGGCTCAGGAGGTCAAGCAACTACCTACAGTGCCAGCATCCCACACAAACTGCATTTTGAATTCTGGATAATGCACCTGGGAAGGCAGCAGAAGATGTCCCAAGTGCTTGGGCCCCTGAACCCATGTAGGAGACCTAGAACAAGCTCCTGGCTCCTGGCTTTGGCCTAGCCCAGCCCTGCCAATTGTGGCCATTGGGGAAGTGAACCAGTGGATTTAAGATCAATCTCTCTGTCTTTCCTCCTCTATAGCTCTGCCTTTCAAATAAATAAATACATCTTTATAAAAAGAAAACAAGCTTTAAAACCTTCCTGAAAATTAATTCAAACTAAGTCATAGGCTACAGTTTTGAATGCAAAATCTGAAAATCATAGGACAAAAAAGAAATAAAATCTACATGGTTCTTGGATGATTTTTAAAATTTATTTATTAAGACAATTACAGAGAGAGAGAGAGAGAGTTCTGCCATCTGCTTCTCCACTCCCCAATTGGCCACAACAGCTCAAAATAGATTAGACCAAAGGCAGGAGTCTCTAACTCCATCCAGGTCTCCCACATGGGTGACAGGAGCTTAAGCACTTGGGCCATCTTTAGCTGCTCTTCCAGGTGCACTATCAGTGAGCTGAATTGTAAGTGCAACAGTTTGCACCCAAATAGGTGCTCATATGTGATGCCAGCATCACAGGCTAAGGCTTAACCCACTGCAACACAATATTGGCCCTAAAGCTTGAATAATCTACAACACACAACATCAAAATCCAATTCCCAGAGTAAAAAGTTGAAACTGTGACTTTATAAAAGTAAAACTTCCATGTGATAGATCATGTGTAGAGAACAAAAAGAGAAGGTACAATGTAAATTACTTGAGATGTGAGAGCACTCAGGGATGGACTGTGACAAAGAACCTGTAACAAGTGTATGGAACACTCACTGTAGAATATAAGACACAGCTAAATGCACCATCCATGAAGAGTGGGCCCTCACTAGGCTCAAGTCTCTCAGAGCCTTGGTCTTGGACTTTCTGGAGACTGGAATTGTGGGCAAGAAAAAATCTGTCATTTATAAATTACCAGGCTATTGTGTGACAGCAGCCAGGCAGGACTAAGACAATGGGTTATTATAAAGGTGTGGTGAAGGACACACACGCACAGCTAAAGGCACCTAGGATGAGGCCCACAATAGTCCCAAGGCAGGGCTTCCATCCCATGGAGCTGGGAACCACCCCACCCTCTTGGCACATGCATGTGTTCACCAACCCCAGAAGCTCCCTGAAGCACATCTTTCAGGGACCCCCTGGAGGCTTCATCAGGCAGGCATGACTGATGATTCACTCCTTCACCAGCCCTCTCATCCCAGAGGAACAGGGAAGGGACTGGGAAGTTCCAAGTCTCTAATCACGGCTTGGTCTTTCTGATAACCAGCCCCATCCTGAAGCTATCCAAGAGCATCCAAGAGCTATCCAAGTGTTCTCATCGGAACAAAAGTCTTTTCCTATCAACCAGGAGAGATCAAAGACTTAGAAAGAAATGAAAAGACCAAACACATATTAGAACACAAGAGGCTTGCAGGGCTCCTATCACTCAGGACATTGTAAAGGTTTTAGAAGCAATACGCCAAAAACAGGGGACAGAGACCAAACATGAGAGGACTTCAAGAAGTTACTGGAAGATGGAATTAAAAGATCAATGTATTTTGCTGCAAAAACATTTGAAAGCAAGCATGTTTTTTTTTTCATTAGAAATTTATGGAAAATAAATATTCTGAAAAGCATATGCATGGATTTCAAATTTTTACAAAAAAGATATATGTATTTATTAAAGGCAGAGTTACAGAGAAAGAGAAGGGAGAGAGAGAGAGATCTTCCATCTGCTGGTTCATTGCCCAAATGGCCCAGGGCTGGGCAGAGCTGAACACAGAATCCAAGAGCTTGCTCTGGGTGTCCCATGTGGGGACAGGAGCCCAAGCACCAAGGCCATCCTCTGTGGCCTTCCCAAGCACACCAGCAGGGAGCTGGATCTGAAGTGTGGCATCAGGTCTCCAACCATCGCCAACATGGGATGCCAGTGTCATAAGTGGCAGCCCAACCCACTACACTGCAAGGCCAGCCTCCGGATTTCAAATGTTTATTGCACCAAAAAAATTTACTAGAGCTGGCATTGTGATGCAGCAGGTCACACAGCCATCCGAGATGTCAGCATTCCATACAGGAGCATGGGTTTAAGTCCTGGCTCCTCACTTCTGATTCACATCCATGCTCCTGCGAAAGCCCCACATGCCAGCAGGCGCCTTCCTGACTCCAACTATCAGAGCCGAACGAGTGACAAGCCTCAGAGGACTCCATCTCCCAAGGGTCCTAGGGGGCATCAAACGTCAGAGGACCGAGCAGGTGCTAATCTCAGCCTCTATTTCGCAGGGTCCTGTGAGCGCCTGCCTCAGACTCCACCCCCTAAAGGCCCATGGGTGTCCAGCTTCCTAGGACTCCGAGGCACACAGGGTCCTTCTGGGGGTCTTTCAGGACCCGAGCTCCCAGAGACCCTGAGCAGGCACTCCACCAATGCCAATCTGCGAACGCCCAAGGGCACCTCTCTGACTCCAACTACCAGAGTCCAGTGAGTGACAAGCCTCAGAGAACTCCATCTCCCAGTGGTACCCACGTGCGTCATACATCAGAGGACGGTGCGGGCGCTCATCTCAGACTCTATTCCCAGGGTCCTGTGAGTGCCCGCCTCATACACCAACTCCCATAGGTCCGTGGGTGTCCGGCTTCCTAGGACTCACGGAGGGCCCTGCTGGGCTGCCCTCCTGAGGAGTCCAGTTCCAAAAGTACCCTGGGCAGGTACTTTTCTGATGCCCATCTGCCGAAGTCCCGCCGGCGCCCTCTTGACTCCAACTACAAGAGTCCAGGGAGCAACAAGTCTCAGAGAACTCCATCTCCCCAGGGTCCTCGGGGGCATCATACATCAGAGGAATGCGTCTCCCAGACGGCACTGTGCTCTCCTGCTTCAGTCTCCATCTCCCAGGGGTCCCCGGGGGCATTATACATCAGAGGAACGCGCGGGTGTTCATCTCAGCCTCTATTTCCCAGGGTCCTGTGAGCACCCTCAGACTCCATCCCGCAGAGGCCCGTGGGTGTCCAGCTTCCTGGGACCCCGCCTCACAGAGGGTCCTTCTGGAGTGCCCTCTTGAGGAGTCCAGCTCCAAAAGTACCCTGGGCAGGTACTCCTCTGATGCCCATCTGCCAAAGTCCCGAAGCGCCCCCCTGACTCCAACTACCAGAGCCTGGGGAGTGACTCCATCTCCCAGTGTACCCATGGGCATGTACGTCAGAAGAATGCATCTCCCAGACTGCACTGTGCTCTCCCGCTTCAGACTCCATCTCCCAGGGGTCCCCGGGGGCATCATATGTCAGAGGACTGCACGGGCACTGATCTCAGACTCTATTTCCCAGGGTCCTGAGAGCGCCCACCTCAGTCTCCATCCCCTAGAGGCCTGTGGGTGTCCAGCTTCCTCGGACCCCGTCTCACCGAGGGTCCTTCTGGAGTGCCCTCTTGAGGAGTCCAGCTCCAAAAGTACCCTGGGCAGGTACTCCTCTGATGCCCATCTGCCAAAGTCCCAAAGCGCCCCCCTGACTCCAACTACCAGAGCCCAACGAGCGACAAGCCTCAGAGGACTCCATCTCCAAAGGGTTCTCGGGGGCATCATACGTCAGAGGACCGCACGGGCGCTCATCTCAGCCTCTATTTCCCAGGGTCCTGTGAGTGCCCGCCTCAGTCTCCACCCACTGCAGGCCCGTGGGTGTCCAGCTTCCTCGGACCCCGTCTCACAGAGGGCTCTGCGGGGTACCCTCTTTGAGGACCCCAGCTCCAAGAGGCCTCTGAACAAGTTCCCCTCAGAAGCCCATCTGGGAAAGCCCCGCGGACCCGCAGGCGCCCTCCTGACTCCAACTACCAGAGTCCAGAGAGCGACAAGTCTCAGAGAACTCCATCTCCCAGGGGTCCTCCGCGGCATCATACGTCAGAGGAATGCGTCTCCCAGACGGCACTGTGCTCTCCTGCTTCAGACTCCATCTCCCAGGGGTCCCCGGGGGCATCATACGTCAGAGGACCGTGCGGGCACTCATCTCAGACTCCATTTCCCAGGGTCCTGAGAGCGCCCGCCTCAGTCTCCACCCCCTAGAGGCCCATGGGTGTCCAGCTTCCTGGGACCCCCGCCTCACAGAGGGTCCTTCTTGAGTGCCCTCTTGAGGAGTCCAGTTCCAAAAGTACCCTGGGTAGGTATTCCTCTGATGAAATCTGCCAAAGTCCCGAAGCGCCCCCCTGACTCCAACTACCAGAGCCTGGGGAGCGATAAGTCTCAGAGGATTTCATCTCCCAGTACTACCCATGGGCATGTACGTCAGAGGAATGCGTCTCCCAGACGGCACTGTGCTCTCCTGCTTCAGACTCCATCTCCCAGGGGTCCCCAGGGGCATCATACCTAGGAGGACCGCACGGGTGCCCATCTCAGACTCCATTTCCCAGGGTCCTGAGAGCGCCCGCCTCAGTCTCCATTCTGCAGAGGCCCGAGGGTGTCCAGCTTCCTCAGATCCCATCTCACAAAGAGTCATTCTGGGGTGCCCTCTTTGAGGACCCCAGCTGCAAGAGTCCCCTGAGAAGGTACTCCTTTGATGCCCCTTTGCCAAAGTCCCGCAGGCACTCCCCTGTCTCCAACTAACAGAGCCCAGCGAATGACAAGCCTCAGAGGACTCCATCTCCCAGTGGTACCCGTGGTCGTCATGTGTCAGAGAAATGTGTCTCCCAGGTCCCACTGTGGTTTCCTGCTTCAGACCCCATATCCCAGAGTTCTCCGTGGGCATTTTATGTTGGAGGACCATGTTTCCCAGATCGCACTGTGGTTTCTGGTTTCAGATTCCATCTCCCAGTGGTCCTCATGTGCACTGTATGTCTGAGAACCGCATCTCCCAGAACACCTCACGGGCACTCATCTCAGACTCTATTTCCCAGGGTCCTGTGAGCACCAGCCTCAGATTCTGTCTCCTAGAGGTGCTAACAGGTTGCTCACATCTGAGGACCACTTCTTCCAGAACACTTTGCATGTGCTGTCCTCAGACTCTACCTCCAAGAGCCCAGCCAGTGACAAGTTTCAAAGGACTCCATCTCCCAGTGATCTCCCCCGGCACTGCGTGTCAGAGGACCGTGTTTCCATGAAGGCACTGGGGCATCTATCCTCAGACCCCATCTCCCAGAGCTCCCCGTGGGCACCCCCCCATTATACTCAGAACGTTGGAGCCCTAGAGTATGGAGTGCAGAGCATGACAGGGCATCTGTCACAGATGCGTGGACACTCATGACACGTGGTGGGAGATGGCGCTTGTGTGGAATCCACAGGCCAAAAGAAAAATGGAATGTACATGAGCAGTGCACCGTCCTTCTTCACAGGGTCAACAGTGGCTTCGGGGGTCAGGCATTGCGGCACAGCGGCTTAAGTGGCTGCCTGCAATGCCGGCATTCCCTATGGACGCTGGTTAGATCAAGGCTACTGCACTCCCAATCCAGTTCCCCGCTGATGTGCCTGGGAAAGCCTTGGGTGGTAGCCAGAGTCTTGCACTCCTGCCTCGCACATGAAAGACACAGCAGGAGTTCCAGGCTCCCGGCTTCAGCTTGGCCCCACCCCACCATTGTCGCCATTTGGGGAGTGAAGCAGCAGATGGAAGATGTCTCTCTCTCTGTCACTGTAGCTCAAGAAAGAGAGAGAGAGAGAGAGAGGAGAGGAGGGAAGGAGGGAGGGAGGAAAAGAAAAAGAAAGAAGAGGAGGAGGGGCAGGGCGAGGCGAGGTGAAAGGAGGTGAAGCATCTTAGGGAGCCCGTTTCACCGTCCTGCCATTCAACGTCACAGCTGCAGACCCATCAGTGAAGAGCAGGTCTGCACCAGAAAGGTCTCCAGCGCCTTCAACTTCGAGTGTCTACTGTCCAGAACCATGGGCAATAAATTACTGTTGTGATCTCCTTCCCCAAAACCTGTAAGCCCACTCCCACTGTGAAAAATGTCAGAAAAGCAAACCTCACTGCATGAAGCCGGATACCTAGAAGACACGGGCAATTGCCAAGTAAATATGCCTATTCATTGGGGCCAGTGTTGTGTGTAGTGGCTAAAGCCACCACCTGTAGTAGCAGCATCCCATATGGGCACCAGTTCAAGTCCCAGCTGAGGCACTTTTGATCCAGCTCCCTGCTGATGCACCTGGGAAAGCAGCAAAGGTGGCCTAAGTGCCTGGTGCCCTGCACCCACAGGGGAGACATGGAAAAGCTCCCTACTCCTGGTGTTGGCCTGGCCCAGCCCCAGCTTTTGTGACCACTTGGGGAGTGAACCCGTGGATGGAAGACCTCTCTCTCTGCCTTTCCCTTTCTCTCTGTGGAACTCTGCCTTTGAAATACATAAACTAAGTCTTGAAAAAAAATTACTCACAGGGGCTGGGATTGTGTCCTGGCAGGCAGAGCTCCAGACTGCTGGCTTCAGTGTGGCCCGGCTCCAGCTGCTGAGGCCACTAGGGGCGGTGAAGCAGTGGATGGAAGACCCCTGTCTCTCTGTAACTCTGCCTTTTAAATAAATAGATACATAAATAAGTCGATAGATAAAAAGAAAGAATGTAAATAAGCACAGAGATACTCCCCAGGCAGGAGCAGAAGAGCTATTACTCTTAAGACACAACAGTCCCTTCTCATTTGACCTGCAGATTCAATGGAATCCCAATCACATTCCCAGCAAAGATGCCAGCGAACGGTTTAGAATCCTAGATAGGGACATAAGACTGAAGAAGGGGGGCCGCACTGTGCCTTAGTGGGTCGAGTCACAGCTAGTATCACCAGCATCCCATAGAGCCGCCTGCTGGAGTCCCAGCTGCTCCACTTCCAGTCCAGCTCCCTGCCAATGGCCTGGGAAAAGCAGCAGAAGATGGCCTGAGTGCTTGGGCTCTGCACCCACATGGGAGACCAGACAGAAAGAAGCTTCTGGCTCCTGGTTCAGTCCTGGCTGTTGCAGCTACTGGGAGTGAATCAGTGGATGAAAGATCTCTCTCTCTCTCTCTCTCTCTCTCTCTCTCTCTCTCTTCCCTAGATCTGAAACTCTGCCTCAAATAAATACATCTTAAAAACAAAAGAAGGGGCTGGTGCCATAGCTCACAGCTATTGTGGCCATCTGGGGAGTGAACCAGCAGATGGAAGACATCTATCTCTCTCTCTCTCTCTCTCTCTCTCTCTCTCTCCCTCTCTCTCATCTATCTATCTATCTATTGCTCTCTACCTCTCTCAGCTCTCTGCTGTGGCCCAAGAGGGCAGTGGAGGATGGCCCAAGTGCTTGGGCTCCTGCACCCACATGGGAGACCAGGAAGAAGTACCTGGCTCCTGGCTGCAGATTGGCGCAGTGCCAGCCGTAGCGACCACTTGGGGAGTGAACCAACAGAAGGAAGACCTTTCTCTCTGTGTCTCTCTCTCACTGTCTACAGCTCTAGTTGTCAAATAAAAAAAAAAAAAGAAAACAATCATGTCAACACCATGCAGGAAAAACAGAGAGCATCCAACTTTAACACACTAAGCCCACCAAGTCCAGTGTAGCCAACTACAAAACCAATCAAACTATTAGGTTGTCATTAGATGACACAGTGCGACATGACAGATTAATACTGGAAGTCATGCAAGGAACATTAAGTTAGTTCAGAGGACACCTTGTGGATATCACACCAGTATTAGAGGTCCTCATGTGGACATGAAGTCAGTATTAGAGGTCATCATCCAGACCTTATACCAGTTTCAGTGACCTCTGTGTGAATATCTTATTGGGAAATATATGTTCTGTGCTCTAGGTGGAATCCACCCCCGCCCCCAGCCCTTTCTGTGTCCAGCACTCTGAAGGCTCATCAGCATTGAAGCCAGAGACTGAAAGCTTTTTACACACCACTGCAGAGTGCAGATCTGAGATTTCATCCTTGCTGGGGACCTGGTGGACTTGTCACACCCTCAACGGCTGCAGTCAGTCAGGAAAGGCGGGTTCGTGCATTCTCTCAGGCTGCTAGGACTCGGTGCAGGGCACTCAGGATGTGTGTTTCCTCCTGGTTTTCCTAGGCAATGAAAGAAATTTAGCCCTGTATTCAACACTAGTCAATGCCACAATTTTGGAAATGCAAACAGAAATGAAGTCCACTATACCATATCTTTTCCATAAATGGTAAAGGAATACTTAATTGAAAACACAAGTTTTGGGGCCAGTGCTGTGACATAGAAGGTTAAGCCTCTTGCCTTAATTACCAGCATCCCATATGGGTGCCAACTTGAAGCCTGGCTACTCCACATATGATCCAGCTCCCTGCTAAGGCACATGGGAAATCAACCAAAGATGGCCCAATTACTTGGACCCCTAAACTATTGTGGGTTACCCAGAACAAGCTCCTGGTTCCTGGCTTTGACTTAGCCCAGCCCCAGCCATTGCAGCCATTTGAGAAGAGAACCAGTGGGTAGAAGATATCTCTCTCTCTCTCTCTCTCTCTCTCTCTCCCTCCCTCCCTCTCTCTCTTTCTCTCTCTCTCCATCTCTCCCCCCCTCTCTTGCCTACTCCTTGTCTCTACCTTTCAAATAAATAAATAAATCTTTTAAAAAAGAAAATGAAATTCACTTGAAAGACTTCACAGGCTAAAGTTTCAAATGCAAAGTATAAAAATCATAGGACAAAAAAGAAATGAAGAAAATCTACATGGTCTTGGAGGATTTTCAAAATTACGTTATTTATTTATTAAGGCAGAGTTAGAGAGAGAGAGAGATTTAAAATCTACTGAATCACTCCCCAAATGGCCATAACAGTCCAAGATAGACCAGGCCAAAGCCAGGGGTCTCCAACTCCATCCAGGTCTCCCACGTGGGTGACAGGAACACGAGCATTTGGGACATCTTCAGCTGCCTTCCTAGGTGCATTATCAGTGAGCTGCATCAGAAGTGCAGCAGCCGGCACTCCAGTAGGCACACATAGATGATGCCTGAGTCACAGGCTGTGGCCTAACCCACTGCACAATATCAGCCCTGAAGTTTGAATAATTTGTAACACACAACATCAAAAGTAAATTCCCAGAGTAAAAAATTAAAATTGTGGACTTTATAAAAGTAAAACTTCTTTGTGATGGATCATGTGTAGAGAAAGACAAGGTACAGTTTAAATTATTTGGGATGTGAGAATACCCAGTGATGGAATGTGACAAAGAACCTATTATAATTGTACGGAAAACTCACTGCAGATTATGAGGACACAGCTAAGTGCACCAACTATGAAGAATGGGCCCTCCCAGGCTAACATCTCCCAGAGCCTTGGTTTTGGACTTTCTGGAGGCTAGAATTGTGGACAAAAAATTATCTGTCATTTATAAGTTACTCAGCTGTTTTGTGACAGTAGGACTAAGACTAAGACAATGGGTTATTATAAAGGTGTGGTGAAGGACACACACGCACAGCTAAAGGCACCTAGGATGAGGCCCACAATAGTCCCAAGGGCAGGGCTTCCATCCCATGGAGCTGGAGCACCACCCACCCTCTTGGCACATGCATGTGTTCACCACCACAGAAGCTCCCTGAAGCACATCTTTTAGGGCTTCTTATGGGGGCTTCATCAGACAGGCAAGACTGATGATTCACTCCCTCTTCAGCTCTTTCATCCCAGAGGATGAGAGAAGGGACTGGAAGTTCTAGGCCTCTAATCACGGCTTGGTCTTTCTTATAACCAGCCCCATCCTGAAGCTATCCAAGAGCATCCAAGAGCTATCCAAGTGTTCTCATAAAAAAAAAAAAAAAAAAAAGACTGCCTATCAGCTAGGAGAGATCAAAGGACTTAGAAATAACTGAGAAGACCAAACACATATCAGAAGACAAGAGGCTCCCAGGACTCCTATCACTTTGGACATTGTGAAGGTTTTAGAAGCACTACACCAAAAACTGGGGAAAGAGACCAAACATGAGGATACTTCAAAAAGTTACTGGAAGATGGAATTAAAGGATAATTTATTTTGCTGCAAAAACATTGGAAAGCAAGCATGGTTTTTCATTAGAAGTTTATGGAAAATAAATATTTTGAAAACCATATGTATGGATTGCAAATTTTTATGAAACAGGTTTATTTATTTATTTGAAAGAGTTACAGAGAGAGAGAGAGAGAGAATCTTCCATCTGCTGGCTCATTGCCCTAATGGCCTATGGCTGGATGAGGCCAAATACAGAAGCCAAGAGCTTTCTCCAGGTCTCCCACATGGGTGCAGGGGCCCAAGCACCTGGGTCATCCTCTGTTGCCTTCCAAGCTCACTAGCAGGGAGATGGATCTGAAGTGTAGCAGTCAGATCTCAAACCCATGCCCACATGGGATGCCAGTGTCAAAGGTGGCAGCTCAACCACTACAACACAACTCTGGCCCCTGTATTTCAAATTTTTATTGCACCAAAATAAACTTAGCAGAGCCAGCATTGTGGTGCAGCAGATTAAACAGCCACCTGAGATGGCAGCATCTGATACAGGAGCATGGGTTTAAGTCCTAGCTCCTCCACTTCTGATCCAGCTCCATGATAAGATTCCTGGGAAGACAGCAGAAGATGGCTCAAGTACTTGGGTTCCCACCACCCATGTGAGAGACCCAGATGGAGATCCTGGCTTCTAGCTTCAGCCTAGACCAGACCAGGCAGTTTTGGTTTTATGGGGTTAAATCAACAGATAAGAGGTCTCTGATACTCTGTCTCCCTCTTTCTTTCCCCCTCCCTACCTCAGCCTTCAAATACATAAATCTTTAAAAAACATAAACTTATTTTTTAACTCTACTTTTTTAAAGATTATTTATTTGAGCCGGCGCCGTGGCTCACTAGGCTAATCCTCCGCCTTGCGGCACCGGCACACAGGGTTCTAGTCCCGGTCAGGGCGGCGGATTCTGTCCCGGTTGCCCCTCTTCCAGGCCAGCTCTCTGCTGTGGCCAGGGAGTGCAGTGGAGGATGGCCCAAGTGCTTGGGCCCTGTACCCCACGGGAGACCAGGAGAAGCACCTGGCTCCTGCCATCGGATCAGCGCGGTGCACCGGCTGCAGCGCGCCAGCCACGGTGGCCATTGGAGGGTGAACCAACGGCAAAGGAAGACCTTTCTCTCTGTCTCTGTCTGTCTCTCTCTCTCTCTCTCACGGTCTACTCTGCATGTCAAAAAAAATCTTTTAAAAAAAAGATTATTTATTTGACAGGCAGAATTATAAGACAGAGAGAAGGAAAGAGAGAGAGGTCTTCCATCCACTGTTTCACTCCCCAAATGGCTACAAAGCCAGAGCTGGGCCAATCTGTAGCCAGGAGCCGAGAGCTTTCTGGGTCTGTCATGGGTGCAGCTTTTCCAGACTATTAGCAGGGAGCTGGATCAGAAGTGGAGCAGCCAGGACTTGAACTGGCACCCATATGGGATGCCAGTGCCACAGGCAGAGACATCAACTACTACTCCACAGCGCTGGCCCTTGAACTCTACTTTTTTATGAACTTTTTGAAGTACCCTCACGTTTCTGTGTCTATGTGTGTATGTATACATTGTACACATTTTGTGTTTGCAATCTGGAAGAATAACAATGAATTCAATATTCATAATAGACCAATGAATTAAATAAATGACAGATGGTAGGAGCCAGGCTTCTCAATGCTGAGGGAGAAGTTGCAGATGAGCAAGGGGGGAAGGCTGGAATGGTCCATGTCACACTGAATAGAGTTCATTGATTGCAGACATCAGTATCAACTCTCATTCAGCTTAATATGTAGACAGCTCCACATGGAAATATTTGCAATTAGGTGTGCAAATATAGAATTCACAAGTATTTCCTTGTATTCTTAGTTATGAGAGTCAAGATACAATGAACACAGACAGCTGCTAGATATAAGTTTTTTTTTTTTTTAATTTATTTGAGAGGCAGATTCCAACAGAGAGAGTGAGAGACAGTGAGAGAGGCCTTCCATTAGCTGGCTCATTCCCTAAATGTCCACAATAGCCAGAGCTGCAGCAATCTGAAGTTAGGAATTTCTTTGAGTCTCCCAGATGGGTGCAGGGACCTGAGCACTTAGGCTATTGTCTACTGATTTCCCAGCACATTAACAGGGAGTTGGATCAGAAGTGGAGCATCTGGGACTGGAAGTGGTGCCCATTTGAGATGCTGGCACCAAAGGCGGTGGATTAACCTACTATGCCACAGTGCCAGCCCCTAGATGTAAGTTTTTAATATCATCTTCCCATAATAAGAACCAGAGATTTTCAAAGAAATGGCAGATACTAGGACTGGGACGGGAATTATGTGGGCTAAGATAATCTTTACTGTAAGGAAATGAGGCACAGAGAAAATAAAAACATGCAGTTACATCAGAGAAAAGCAATAGCCAATGGAAAGAACTTCCAATAGCCAAAGCAAGAATGAACTGAGCAACAAAAGAATGTAGCACCAGACAATAACCTGATTATCCAGGCACCCATACTGGCATAAATACATGAATGAAGATTTTCTATAATAATAGTTCATGCAGAAAGATGTCAAATAACAGGCACTCAGCCATAAAGGAGGAGAAAACAAGTCCCCACTCCTGAAGTGTGGGCCTGGCATACTGATTCCTCCGAAAGAATACATACGATATGGAAAAGGGGAAAAGTAATTTCAAGGTGAGAAGCCTGAAAACACTCCCTGAGCCAGCTGACCAAAGTTCACATGGACGGGGACCAATCATCTAGAACACATGAAGTAAGAGCTTCCCTTCCCTTCACTTCCCTCCCCTCCCCTCCCCCATCCCCTCCCCTTCTTTCTTTCTTCTCTTTCTTTCTTTCTTTCTTATTTATTTATTTGAAAGGCAGAGAGAAGGAGAGATCCACAAAGACATTTTCCACCACTGATTGACTTCACAAATGGTCATATTTAGCCAGGGGCTGGGCCAGGCTGAAGTCAGGAGCCAGAAACTCCATCCTGACTCCTTCTCTTGTGGCAGGGGCCCAAGTACTTGGGCCATCTTCCATTGCTTTCCCAAGTGCATATGGGATACCAGCATCACAGGCAGTGGCTTAACCCACTGCATTACTATGCTGCCCCCGCCCAA